ATAAGTAGGTGGCCATACAATTTTTCTAAAGAAATAAATACCATTATAATTAAAAAGACAGTAACAATGTATTTGCAAATGACAGAAAAACACAAACGAATAGTATTAAATCACCGGACCACATACAAATATGGCATAGTAACTATAATGCAATTCGGATAAAGTATCTAGCTTTCAAGGTACAGCACCACTATATATATATATAACAGCTTAAGAAGCTTTAATACTACAGCTAGGAGCAACTTCATTTTCTCTATTTTTGCCATTTTTAAAAAATCCATAGCCATTAAAAAGCATAGGAAAAGAAGGATGTTTTTTAAGTGCTTCAAGATAAGTCCACAAACATACTGGTAGGTAATATGCAATCCAGTGTGATATTTTGTAGGTTTTATCATACCACTTTATAAGTTACTGTATGAAGGTAAATTGTTAATTTGTATTTTTTATGTAAACTTTTATAATATTCTAAATTACTTCTACATTATAGTTCTCATTTACTAAAATATGAAGTGCAAAGGACTGAAGTTATCTGATCTAGTTCTGTTGGAGTGGAATAAACAATTACTAGGAATATTCTGTTATTGTCTTACTACTGCTACTACTACTATTCTTCCTTCTTTCTAGATAGCAGGAATATATCAATTTCTATGCAATAGAATAGAATAGAATAGAATAGAATAGAATAGAATAGAATAGAATTCTTTATTGGCCAAGTGTGATTGGACACACAAGGAATTTGTCTTTGCTCTCAGTGTACATAAAGAAAAATAAAATACATTCATTAAGATTCAAGAATCATAAGATACAACACTTAGTGATAGTCATAGGTTACTAATAAACAATCAAATCATACTAGGAAACAAATAAAACAATATAAATTGTAAAGATACAAGCAACATGGTTATAGTCATAAGTGGGAAGAGATAGGTACTAGGAAAGATGATAAGAATAATAGTAATACAGTCTTAGTAAATAATTTGACTGTATTATGGGAATTAGTTGTTTAGCAGAGTGATGACATTCAGGAAAAAAACTATCCTTGTGTCTAGTTGTTCTGGATATCATTGTGCCAAAACATTAGTTACTTATTAACTAGATATTCTAAAATCCTGTATGAATGAACTAGGGCAGTTTGAACCAGCTTGTAAAATGGGAGGCAGATATTGGTGTACAATCAAGAAAACCAAGAAAACTACCACACTGGGAGAACATCACATCTAACAGATTGGTTCTGCTAATGGAAAACTGTCAGCCCTTCTAAGTAGAACAGATTAGGAAACCAAAATTATGCATGCTAATATTCATTGTATTATTCAAGGTTATAGTATCAGAATCTTGCAATTTGAATGTGTTTTCATTGTCCCTTCCTTTATTGTTGCGATAACTAAGGAGGGCATTGTCTGAGATGCTTAGACAAGTTACAGTTCTGACCAGGATTCAGATTTCTTTTATCTGACAATTTATAGCCACATTAAATAGCTGCAAATAACATCGATTAGAGTGTTTAAAACTGTTACAGAGCAATATGTACAGATAGTCCTTGATTTACAACAATTGAGCCCAAAATTTCTGTTGTTAAGCAAGTCATTTATTAAGTGAATTTTGCCTAATTTTGCAACCTTTCTTACCACAATTGTTAAGTGAATCACTGCAGTTGTTAAGTTACTAACACAGTTGTTAAGTAAATCTGGCTTTCCCACTGACTTTGTTTGTCAGAAGATTCAAAAGGTGATCACACAACCCTGGGACCCTGCAACTGTCATAAATATAAACCAGTTGCAAGCACCCAAATTCTGATCATATGACCATGGGGATGCTAAAATATCATAAGTGTGAAAAACAGTCATAAGTCAGTTTTTTCAGTGCCTTGCAATTTCAGTCACTAAATGAACTGTTATAAATCAAGGATTACCTGTACTATATATCTTTACAAATACTCCATATAATTAATTGAAATTAGTTCCCATTTGAGCAAGCCTTGAATCATGCAAAAAAGAAACACATTTAACATATAGAACTATAATCCCAAATGCTCCTGTCAAGAATTACAGTAAGTACCACTTAATATAGTTGTAGTTATATCTAAGTTCATATGCATAATACTGCAAATAGGAACTAGAGTTCAGAATTTATTTTTAAAGTAAAAATGTACAGCAAATGTTCAAGTGCATAAACTGAGAAATTCATCTGGAAAAATACTTCAGGGTCTTTGGAGTTTTGATAAAAACTCTAAATGAAGGACTGTTCTAGAAAAATATTTGAAGGAGTCCAATAAGAGAAACAAATTATTTTATGAGTCAAACAAAACTGCAAAGACATCCACTTACAAAAGAATTGTGAATACAATTCAAGATGAACTGTAGTTGTTCAACCCTCTTCTATTTTGTCTGTAAGGATTAATTTAGAAGGAAATCCAAACAGCTGACTCTTCTGTGAAATAGGAGGAGGATATGTTTCTTCTGCAAAAGTTGACCTTTTGCCTACTAAACTTTCCTTACGGAGGCACTACATCCCTGGCAATTTCACAGACCAAGTGAAAAGTCTGTTCCCAGTACTATGAACTTTCCCCAAGTAAACTTCACTTTCAGATAAAATGTGTCCTAAATCAATAAACTGACATAGCTTTTCTAACTGAGCATTGTATCTATCTAGTCTTATCTGTACCAGAAAGTTGGGCTATCAACTTTCTTCTCTAATTGTTTATGCTAAAGGCCAATTAGAAGAATTGCTTCTTATTGATGGCAACATGGCTCGAAAACAATTAAGTATAATTTTTTACTGGACTGTTCTAAGCAGGCCAAACTAGATATGACCAAGCCAGAAGTTCAAAAAATCCAGAACTTGCTGATTTATATTTTCCAGCCATTAATTTTAGTTGATCATTATAAGAAAGGTCATTTAGTTGATCATTCCATGAAAAAAACCATAATCCATCTAAACTGATATCCATTTGCATTAACAGGAGTTCATGAATAAATGCAGACATGAAAAATGCCCCATTAGATCCAGATGCTGCATTTGATTACACAAAATGGCTTTTAGGATCCAAAATGGATCCTAAAAGCCATTTTTCCCACCCTGTACCTGTGGGGAAAATGCCAAGATGATTAATTGCAGTTCATGCCCAACAAGAAGATTGAATAACTTTCTCTGCCAATAAAAATTGCTGATACTAATTTATTTTTAAGAGATGAGACTATTGTTAAATCTTTTATACCTCTTAAAGACTGTGAGACTTCAATTTTAGGGAGATGTTTTATGCTGATGTCATAATGCTATATGACTATGATGCTATGAGAGTAACATAGACTAAAGATTCAGAAGTAAAGATCTAGATTGATAAGGCAAAATAGTCTTCTTTCATCAAGAAAATAATAGAAGATCACACTTTCTCAACCTAAGCTCCTAGATAATAGCTTTGTCAGCACTACTACACACTGTATATTACCTGTTCCCAAAATGTAGCTGACAATAGCTAGAGCAACAATTGAAATCAGAAACAAAACTTTTTCTTGCTAGCATCCAGACCAAGTAAGAATTGCGAATATTTCTAAAATTTGCTGTTTCACAATATTTAAAGCAATGTTTCTCAACTTCAACAACTTTTAAGAGTGGTAGATTTTAATAACCAGAAAACCACAGCTATTGTGCAGCACAGGAAATTCTGGGAGTCAAAACACCACCCACCTTAAATTCGTGAAATTGAGAAATAGTGTTTTAGACAATCTTGTTACTCTGTTCATTAGTTTTATTTTTTGTCTTTTTGTCTCCCAACACCCAAAACAGCAAATCATTGCCTATCTTAACATCCTTTTAAAAATCTCATGGGACTTTTGAGTTGCCTCATGAACTGTTTTGAAGCTTTTCAAGAATCAGTTTGGAGAAGGAGAGGAAGGCAAAGGAACCTCAAAACCAAGGGTGAACTCCAGCAGGTTCTGACAGGTTCTGGAAAACCGGTAGCTGGAAATTTTGAGCAGTTCGGAGAACCTGTAGCTGAAATTTTGAGCAGTTCGGAGAACCGGTAGTGTAAATTTTGAGTAGTTTGGAGAACCAGCAAATACCACCTCTGGCTGGCCTCAGAGTGGGGTGGGAATGGAGATTTTGCAATATCCTTTCCCTGGAGTGGGGTGAGAATGGAGATTTTGCAGTATCCTTTGCCTGCCATGCCCACCAAGCCATGCCCAGTAGTAAAAAAATTTGGATTTCACCACTGCTCAAAACTAAATATTACGGAAACAAAGGGGCTATTTGGAAAGTAGAGAATGGTAGGGAAATAAACGGAGTTTGGGATTTATTTATTCTTGCCCTAACAGACATTAGTTATCCTTAGAGCTGTATGTAGAGTATTTCAAGGGGAAAGATAATGTTGCAGAGGAAAAATATCCTTGAAGAGGATACTTTTTTGGAAGTGAACTTCTTGCTATTCAATAACACGTCCTCTAGTGCCTGGCTCCCTGCCACAGGCAGGCCTAGTGTGACCGCCTCCCGCTTCCCCGCCTCGGGGGTGTTCTCGCAGTTCTTGGAAAAAGAGGTATAACCCTCAAGCCACCCCTACCCTCCCTTTCCCTCAGGAATCGAGCCAAGTTGTTTTCAGTAGTCGTCGGGTCGGGCCAGAAGTCAAGATTCCACCGTCGATAATACAACGCAGCTGATTGGTTCCTACGCAGAAGCGAACTTAAAATTAGAAAAACCAATGAGAAACCGACAAAACGCCACACTCCTTTCTTTCTCCCCCCCCCTCCCTGCACCCGTCCGCGCGATCATCAGTTGGGGGTTTGTCAAGGCGGGGTGAAGTAAGAGAGGACAGGGCTATTCTGAGGTAAATACAGTAATTTTTTTAATGAAAGATGCCGTTCATCGCCCGTTACATCCGAAACGCTGGAAGACAGCGCGGCCTTATTGGACGCGGCAGAGACACACCTCCTAAAGTTACACCTCCTCTTCCCTCCTCCTGAGGTGCTTGGCTCATCAGAAATAGTAAGGTTCACCCCCCAGGGTGATGCAGCTCCAGCTTCGCTTTTGCCCTTTTTCCGACAGTTAACCGCCAGGAGGCGTGGCTTAGCTTCGACTTTCTTCCATTTCTGACGGTTACTTCCCCACCTCCGGGGCGTGGCTTAATTTGAAAGCCCAACCCTCCAGGGGGAAGTGTCAATAGGTGCTGCACGTGCAGGTCATTTAGTCAGGGGATTTAAAGTGAAGAGTCTTGTTAGCGCCACCTTTAGCCTTGTTCACAGCTGAGATGAAGGCTGCGCGGATTGTCCTGAGAAACGCGGCTCCTTTGGCCGCTGGTAGTGGTAGTGGTAGCGGTAGCGGTAGTGCTAGTGCTAGTGGTGGTGCTAGTGGTAGTAGTAGTGGTAGTGCTGGCGCTGGCGGCTCTACTGCCAACAACGGTGCCGGAGCCAGAGCCGGAGCCGGAGCCGAAACAATCAAAGAAGTGGAACGTTTGTCGCGTTTCTCTCCATCGCCTCTTTCCATCAAGCAATTCCTGGATTTCGGTGAGGGGCGTGAATGGGGTGTGGGGTGTAGGAAGGGAGACTTCTGGCGGATCTCTAGGTCAGCCTTGGAGGGCTCTAGGTCTCATGGCTGGGAATTTGGGAACACATCTATCAAGGCGGGGCAGTTATCAGTGCTATCCCATATGAAATGCTGCGAAGTGGGGATGTCTTTGAGGTTGTAGGTCCTTGCTTGAGAAGCGGGACCGTGACTGTTTTTCTCCTTTAAATCAGCGCGAAGTTTGTGTTTCTGCCCAGTTTCTGTAGCTGGAGAATCCTCTAGCAGAGAATGAGGGGTGTGAGAAAAGTTTGCAAAAGCTGGGATGTTGGGCTACTCTGTGGATTGTATGGATGATAGCATTGCCTCAATCTTTGGATATCAGGTCCTTTTAAAGTTTATTTCAGTTTAAAACCCTCAGTCTAGTGTCACCTTTGAGATAAGGCATTCATTCTGGGATCTCTTTCTATGAAGTAGTCTGCCTTTCCAGGTGGCCTTAATCTGATGTGATGCAATTCAAATATCTGATGACATGGGCTCTAAACACAGGGATTTCTGCCACAATCTTACATACTGCAATTTAATGTGCAGCTGACAAAATTAACTGATTAGAATGGAAACTACTTTTGAGTAACATTGTAATACTCATTTTTGAAGTCTGCTATGTGCTGCTTTGTTTTTCTTTCTAAGTTTCTTTCTAAGTCTTTCTAAGTGCTGCTTTGTTTTTTACATCTTTCTTGTACCCTTGTACTCCAGGCTAAGTTTTCATGGCTATTATGTTTCTATCATTTTTGAAGAAACTTTATTGACCATATTTGTGCAACTTCTTTTTACAACTTTGTTGTACAAAAGTTTTGCTTTTACTTAATGATGTAGGAATGTATCTTGATTTGTGATCTTTCCTAAATTTTATGGTGTTTGGACAATGGACTGAAGTTTTAAACAAGATAGCATGTGCACATTTTTCATATTGTATTTTTCTATTCAATATATTATTACATTATTATTTAAATGTAAACACATTTGGTATTTTTATTTTGGTTACTATTAGCATTCCTAGCAGCCAATTGTGTTGCTAGTAGTCAATACTGTTGTTGGTAGCCAATAGTGCTAGTACTAACAGTATTACTATCAATGTATTAAAAGTATACATTTTAAGATAAACAGCTATTTTGCTTTCCTCACTCAGTTAAATTTTTAAAAGGGAGCCAAAGAAATTGGATATTTTATTGTGGATTTTAGACAAATATTTGCAGGAATCTTTTTAATCGTCTCAATGGATTTAGTTCCTTCCCTAATTCTTCAGTCTAAATGATTTACATATATTATGAATGTGTATATTGTTTTTATGTCTGTTTTGCCAGTTTGTTCAACTGGACTTTTTTAAAAAATGTCTTATTTGGTGTATTACAATGCAAACCTACTTCATTGGTTAGGAATAGTTGACTTTCATTTAGGTGTAGTTGCTTTCTAAAGCAATGTGTGAATGTAATTGTTAAATTTTAAATCCCCGTATACAGCCATTTAAATATAAGAGTTTATTAACACAATTTAAATACAGAACATATAAGTAAATATTTTTTTTGTTTTGTATTTTCCCCAGATGTTGCTACAATACTATAATTTACAGTTTATTTGGGTTTGGATAACCCATATAGCAATCATAACCCAGTGCAATGCATCTGTAAAACTAACAGTGCTACAACTGGGGCTATCTCATTTCTACTGCATAAAATTCCAGCTAGCAGCAAACAAAAAACATGTAAACTTTGTGCATACTATTAATATGGGTAGAAAGTTTATTGAAACTGTTTTAGCCCATTGCACTGAAAATATATTATATATCCTTTTTTTGTAGGTTCAACAAATGCATGTGAGAAAACCTCATTCTCATTTCTTCGGCATGAGCTTCCAGTTCGGCTAGCAAATATTTTGAAAGAAATTGATCTCCTTCCTAATCTATTATTGGGTACAACTTCAGTACAGTTAGTAAAGGATTGGTAAGTAGCAAAATTTGCCAAATTTCAATTATTACATTTTAGTCACCTTACACTATTTTTTTAATCAAGTAGGTAATCAGTGCAAAGGTAATACTACCAGAAGGTATCCCTGCCTCCCATCCTCAGCCTTTTCTTACAGCACTGATTTTCAAACCAAGAAAGAAATAAACTGCTCACAGGAATAGGGAAGGGCAGGAGAAAAATCTCTCTTTCAGATCAACTGGAGAGGATAAGGAGATAATAACAAGGTCCAACAGTGAAGCTTTGATCTCAGTAAGGAATTTTGAAAATGTGAGATGTGACACGAATGTTACTTCATAGGAAACCCACCTGTCCTGTTGCTTCAAAGAAAATGTTACATTCTTTTCCTGTGGAGGGGTAGGTGAGCCAGAAATAGATTTGTTCAGCTTGCAAAACTTTCTGCAAGACCCACATAATATCAATATCATGAAATATGAAGTGTAATATTGATTTTAGATTCACACAGCCTTGAATATGAAAAGGCCTGTATGAATAAGTAATAGCAAGCCCTTGAAGCCCTGCTAGTATGTATTCTGCAGTCATTTTGTAATTTCTGCTAAAAGATAGAAAGACACTAATGACCCCTATGTATATTCTCTCTATGTTTGGTAGTATTCTGATAATTTATGGCACTGGTCATATCACAATAAATAAAAGTAGATTTTGTTGCAGCTGCTGTATCTTGTATAGACTTGCTGGCATTCTGAAATGCTGATTTGAATAAAATTGCATATAAAATGCTACAAAATATTAAAACTTTGTCAATGGATGATGAAAAGTGAATATGTATGAGGTGCTAAAATTTTTGGGGAAAGTATTTAAAGTACTTATAATGTTAAATACTCCAAATGTTGATTTAAACAAGGACTTTGGTGTTATTTTTCTACATTTATACATAATGAAGGTCCTTCTATATGCTCCTAATTTGTATAGTTTTTGAAGTTACTGTTAACACTGCTTAGCCGTATATGTGCCAAGAGGTTTTCTATAGACTTTGTATATGTGCGTGTTTCTTCAGGTCAGTTTTGACCCCTTGTAACTGCCTGAAGAAGTCCCTAAAGTTTTCTTGGCATGTTTTTTCAGAAGTAGTTTATAATTGTTTCCTTCCTAAGCATGTGAGAGAGTGATTGACTAAGGTCATCCAGCTGGTTTTGTGTCTGAAATGGGATTAGAACTCATGGACTCCCAGTTTGTAGTCCAATCCCTTAACCACAACATTAAATTAGCCCTTTGGTCTATATGAATAGTCTCATATTTGCATTACTTGTGCTCTTCACAGGTACATTCAAAGCCTACTGGAACTAGTGGAATTTCAAGATAAAAAATCAGATGACCACAAAGTTCTTTCAGAGTATGTTTCTTTCTGTTATCTTTTTTCAGTACCTTATTCTATTTTAAGTAATGGTTGGTTAATGTTGGATGATTCATCTAACTTGAAACCCAGAGCTTAGATAACTATATTACAATGAGATAATGATGCAGAAGCAAAACTAATAGATTTGATATAGCAAAGGTGACACTTTTAAATAAAGTATATCAACAAATTATGAAGTTTCAAAGTACTATTCGTAACAATCAGTTGTTTTGATTTGATATATGAGAAAGTAAACTAATGCATTTACATTTTTCGTCTGTTATGTTTTGTATAACAAACTATTGCTATCTAAGAATCAACCAATGGAACAACTTGCCTTCAGAGGTTGTGTGAGCTTCATCACTGGAAGCTTTCAAGAAGAGACTAGACTGCCATCTGTCAGAAATGGTGTAGGGTTTGCTTGGGTGGTGGGTTGGATTAGATTTATTTATTTATTTATTTATTTATTATTTATTTATTTATTATATTTCTATACCACCTTTCTCCCGTAGGACACAAGGTGGTGTACAGTCAAGAAAAATATAGACACACAAACATCATAAAATTGCTAATTAAAATTATTACTTAGTTTGGTCAATCAAATAAAACCCAGAATAACATTTAAAAAATCATTCACATGTTCGTATGTTTAGCCCCGCCTGTTGGAACATCAGGGTCTTGAGGGCACAGCGGAAAGCACGGAGATCAGGGATATTCCGTATCTCCGGGGGCAGTTCATTCCAAAGGGTGGGAGCCCCCACAGAGAAGGCCCTCCCCCTGGGAGCCGCCAGTCGACATAATTTGACTGACGGTACCCTGAGTAGTACCTCCCTGTGAGAACGAACTGGTCGGTGGGAGGCTATTGGTGGCAAAAGACGGTCTCGTAGGTACCCAAGTCCTAAGCCATGGAGCGCTTTAAAGGTGATAACTAACACCTTGAATCGCTCCCGGAAGACCACCAGGAGCCAGTGCAACTCGCGTAGGAGAGGTGTTACATGGGCGTAATGAGCTGCGCCCATAATCACCCATGCGGTTACGTTCTGGACCAGTTGGAGCCTCCGGGTGCTTTTCAAGGGGAGCCCCATGTAGAGAGCATTACAGTAGTCCATATGGGAGGTAACTAGGGCATGAGTGACCGTGCGCAAGGCGTCCCGATCCAGAAAGGGACGCAACTGGCGGATCAGGCGAACCTGATAAAAGGCACCCCTGGCCACGGCCGTCAAATGATCTTCTAAAGATAACCGTGAATCCAGGAGGATACCCAAGTTGCGGGCCCTCTCTGTGGGGAGCAAGATCTCATCCCCTATTGTCAGTGATGGTACTAGCTGACTATACCGGGACGCCGGAAGCCACAGCCACTCGGTCTTGGAGGGGTTGAGTCTGAGCTTGTTTCTCCCCATCCAGATCCGCACGGCCTCCAGCCAACAGGACATCACAGCAAGGGCATCATTGGGGTGGTCTGGGGTGGAGATGTATAGCTGTGTGTCATCAGCATACTGATGAACACTCACCCCAAAACCATGGATGATCTCGCCTAGCGGTTTTACATAAATGTTGAACAGAAGGGGTGAGAGGACTGACCCTTGTGGCACCACACAAATAAGGTGCCTCGAGGTCGACCTCTGCCCCCCTGCCAACACAAACTGCGAACGGTCAGAGAGGAAGGAGGAGAACCACCGAAGCACGGTGCCCCCTATTCCTAACCCCTCCAGCCGGTGCAGTAAGATACCATGGTCGATGGTATCAAAAGCCGCTGAGAGATCTAATAGGACCAGGATAGAGGAGCAACCTCTGTCCCGAGCCCTCCAGAGATCATCCACCAATGCGACCAATGCCGTTTCCATGCTGTATCATGACCTGAAGCCCGACTGGAACGGATCCAGATAGACAACTTCATCCAGGTATCGGGGTAGTTGTCGCACCATCACACTCTCAACAACCTTCGCAACAAAGCGAAGATTGGAGACTGGATGATAATTTGATAATATAGCCAGGTCCAGGGAAGGCTTCTTGAGGAGGGGTTTCACAACCGCCTCTTTCAAGGCGGCAGGAAAGACACCCTCACTCAGAGAAGCATTTATAATCCCCTGGAGCTAGCCTCGTGTAATCTCCCGGGAGGCCAGTACCAACCAGGAGGGACATGGGTCCAATAAACATGTGGCAGCATTAAGCTTGCCCAGAATCCTGTCCACGTCCTCAGGAGCCACAGAGTCAAACTCTTCCCAGATAACGCTCTCAAGACCTGCTCCCATCTCCTCCCCTGGATCTACCCAATCGGAGTCCAGGCCTTTCCGAATCTGAGCGACTTTATCATGCAGGAATTGTACAAAATCCTCAGCTCAACCCTTTAAGGGATCTTCCCGTACCCCCACCTGAAGTAGGGAGCGGGTCACCCTAAACAGCGCAGCTGGGCGGTTCTCTGCAGATGCAATAAGAGCGGAGAAGTAGCTAGACTTCACCGCTCTTATCGCCACTAGGTAGGTCTTAATATAAGCTCTCACCTGTGTTCGGTCAGATTCAGATCGGCTTGTCCTCCAATCGCTCTCCAGGCGTCTTTTCCGACGCTTCATCTCTCTCAGCTCCTCGGAAAACCAAGGAGCTAGACGAGATCGGCATCAGGTCAGAGGTCGCAAAGGCACGACGCGGTCCAAGGCCCCAGTAGCTGCCCTGTCCCAGGCGACCACCAGGTCCTCAGTCGAGTTGTGAGCCAGAGTCTCAGGAAATGGCCCAAGCTCCATCAGGAACCTTTCGGGGTCCATCAGGCGCCTGGGACGGAACCATTTGGTTGGTTCCGTCTCCCTGCGGTAGGTGGAAGTGACTTGAAAGTCCATGTGAAGGAGAGAATGATCAGACCATGACAAGGGCTTGATGTCTATATCCCCTATTCTTAGATCATTCAGCCACTGATCAGAGACAAAAATCAAGTCCAGAGTGTGATTCCCCAAGTGGGTGGGGCCTTGAACTACCTGGGTCAGGTCCATGGCCGTCATGGAAGCCATGAACTCCCGAGCCATCTCCAACATCTCACCAGCGGATGGCAGGTTAAAATCCCCCATAACAATAAGTCTGGGGGTTTCCACCGCCACCCCGGCTATAATGTCGAGCAGCTCAGGCAGGACCGCTGTTACGTGGCAGGGAGCCAGGTACGCAATCAGTAGGCCCATCTGAATCCCCCGACCCCACTTCACAAGGAGGGACTCACATCCGGCTATCTGAGGAACAGTGGCCTCCCTCGGGCAAAGACTTTCTCTAATGATTGCTGCCACTCCCCCACCCCTTCCCTGAGTCCTTGGCTGATGGAATGCACGGAAGATGCAGATGACCTACAAGGTCCCTTCCAACAGATTCTGTTAATCTGTTAATATTTGTTTACTGCAATTTTGGTTTTCAGAATTTTTATATAGGTAAATATGAAGTTCTGTGTTTCTCCCAGTTTCATAGATGCCATTACTAAGATCCGAAACAGACATCACAGTGTAATGCCCATGATGGCACAAGGGATATTAGAATACAGAGATTCATCTAAAATGGATTCATGCATCAATCATAATATTCAGTATTTCTTGGATCGATTTTACATGAACCGGGTATCTATTCGAATGTTAATAAACCAGCACAGTAAGTTACATTTTTATTCTTTTGATAAATCAATTTTCATAAGCTTTGAAAATGTTCTGAGAAAAAACATTTCTTCAATTTCATATCTTTATTTCAACAGCATTTATATTTGATACTAATAATGTGTGTAACCCGCGACATATTGGATGCATTGATCCTTGCTGTGATGTTGTGGATCTAGTGTATGGTATGTATAAAAAAGAACGCATTGGTCATAGTTGTCATGTAGCTTGATATGTAAACAGCATATTAATATCCAGTAAATTATGAATGTGGTTTGTTGCTTTTTGGCTTAGTTTTTGGCTTAGTTTAAAGACCATGAATATATCAAGTTATGATGGCTTGCTCAAAAAATCTTGGCTTTAGATCATGGCTTAGAATTAAATATGAATGCACTGAATTTTTTTCCTAGGGAGTACAACAAATTTGAGAAGATGTAAGAAGATTTAGACTTCTCAGTGAAAAACTATCAATAGTTGATTAATTTAAACAGCAGTGCTGCCAAAATGCTCAGTTAGTTGAATAAACACAACATAAATTAAGGTAGTTGGTCCTATAAGACAGTTTTTTCATTCATAAAATTCTAATTATTTAATCAAAATCTGGAGGTTGCAAATTTAGGCTACAATCTTAGATAGTTGATTTCTGTGATACAAGAAGATATGCAGAAATAAGAACATTATGATTAAGTCTTAAATACATTTACATGGTAATAAACCCTGTTCAGTTCTGTGACATTTGTTTTTTGAATATATGTAAATAATGTCTACATGAAAATACCAGGGTAGTTATTCAGAGCTTTGGAGATGGCTGCCATCATTATCCTATTGATAAACAGCTATGCTATGCTCATCTGTATGATTCCAAGGAAGCAATCAATTCCTTTGAATGTTGCACATTTCAGTAATGGACTAGATAAGGGTGAACAAGCTTAAATTAAATCCAAAAAAGCAGATATGCTCTAGGTATAAGATTAAGATGAAGCCTGTTTTAAATGCAGTTCTAGAACCCCAAAAAGAACACGTTTGCAGGTTAGCAATGATTCTTGAGATTGTATTTGCAAATGATGGCCTCAATAAGCATATATCCACAAATGTGGTTAATATGCTGATTATAATATTCCTTGAGTCATCAAACTTGATAATAGTTAACCATGCTGGTTATAAACCATCTTGATCAAGGCAGCGGAACTACAGTACTCATGAAAAGTATCTCAAAACTGTAGTTGGGTGTCAAAAGTCTATTAGTTGCAGACCACTACAAAGTAGTGATTGTATGACAACTGTTATTGACACAGATGTTACTCACTGCCTGCCAGGTGCAATGTTAAGTTGTTAGTGTGGTCCTTTAAAGACTCAAATGACTTAAGGCCTGAGAATCTGAAAAGGTCCTTCTCCTGCAATCAACCTGCCCCATTACTTAAATCACTAGGAATGGCTTTATTTTGAAGATGCTGCAGCTCTCAGAAATTCAACTGTCTGGTATATGGGAGAAGGGCTTCTTCTTCATGGCATTCAGGATATGGAATGCTCTCCTAAGGAGATTAATGTAGTCCAATATCTCCAATATTTAAAGAATAGTTTAGTTGTTAAATTTAATAATACTGTTCATTTAATTGTACTGCTCCTTATTGTTTTCTTTATGTTGTATTTTATTTTTGCAAGCCACCTTGAGTGCTTATATAAGTAGAAAGGAAGTTACAAATGTAACATTTAATAAAAGAAATATATCTTAATAGAGAAATCTTAAATCTATTTCAATAGTGTTTTAGGCCCATAGTAGATTTGCTGACCGTAATAAATAAATTATTGTAAATAATGGAAAATTTATACAATACATTCATGTAATAAATATTGTATAATACTAAGTTGTCTGATGTTTAGAAAACAATACTATAACATAAAAATTATTTAATCTTGTTCTTAAAAATATATTTAGATGCTTTCCAGAGTTCCCAGATGCTTTGTGATCAACACTATTTTGCTTCTCCAGAGTTAAAGCTTACTCAAATAAATGGTAAGATTTTTTTTCTGACTGTACTCGTCTATTTCTGAAAGCTTTTCACTTTCAATAATCCTTACTGCTGTTTTTCTTATCTTCAGTAAATATGTCCTAGAATTGCTAGCGAATCACATTTTCCCTACAGATAATGCTTACATGTGCACAGCTGCATTCATTCACTTATGCAGCACTGTGCCAAATACAAAAGGACTTTGACATGCAATTGTGCAATAGTTGGTTTCAGGGTGTACTAAAAAAAAGAGAGAGAATAAATTCACCACTCAATATTCACTTGCAATAATCCAAGAAAATTTTATCATGAAAGGTAGGCCAGAAGAATTCCACAAATCTGTGCAGGCAGATTATAGGGAAAGGTATAATTTGAGAATATATAAAGATTTGAAAAACTAGTCAGACTTAAAGTGCTAGAAAATAAAAGATGATCAAACTCAGAATGCAGTGTGGGATGCACAGATCTCATTAAAAACTTTCTTTGCATCCATAATAATTGTTGGAATAAAATTTCAGTAATAAAATAAAAGTTGATTTATTGTGTGTTGTATTTTTTTTTTAGCAAAAGCACCTGGAGAGCCTATATACATGGTATATGTACCTTCTCATCTCTTTCACATGCTGTTTGAACTTTTCAAGGTTTGTAATTGGTTTTAAAATTTTTATTTTAAGCATGCATTAAAACACGGATTGGTATTTATTGGTATTTATTTTAAGCATGCATTAAAACACGGATTGGATTTAGCTGAAATATTATTTGCAATATCTGTGGAAAGGATATCAAAAGTATAGGATATTACAAATCTAGCAACTACCAAGGTACCACAGAATTGTACTCTTCCCAACATTAGTATTCCAATAATAGTTAAAATTGAACGAATGATGGTTAAAGGTTAAAGTGGCTCTTTCTGTGCATTTAAAATAGGGCCCTGACAAGGGAGATAATTTGTTTGCCACCCATTTGCTTCAAGGCAACTCACTACCTTTGAATCTTTGTTAATAAGATAGTTTTCTTGTTAATATGACAAAAAAGTTATTACTCTATTAGTCAATTATGTATGTAGTTCAGTGGTGGGTTTCACTTACCTTTGCTACTGGTTCGCTTGCACATGCGCCACTTCTGCACACATGCAGAAGCTTCTGCGCATGCATTTGGTAATCCATTTGGTTATGGATTATCGATTTCTCATCTTTATGCTAAATACTTTCATGGAGATCTCAATCTGTACTCTATTTCAGGGTATGGAACAGAGCTTATTTGATGATGTCCGGGTGGGTGGGCAGAGCCTCCCGCTGCTGCTGCTACCGGTTTGCCCAAACCAGGGTGAACCGATAGAAACCCACCACTGATGCAGTTCATTTTCGTTATCAAAATTTCTATCTTAATGGGATAGGGCAAATTTTAATATTTTAAAACCTTTACAAACTAAATTAAATTCTTCTTAATTTCTGTATAGAATGCAATGAGAGCAACAGTTGAACATCAGGAAAAAAAACCTTCCCTTGATCCAATTGAGGTGACTGTTGTACTTGGAAAAGAAGACCTAACAATTAAGGTAGTTTCCCTACTTGAAAAAAACAGCCCACTGGGATTTGAATTATAGATTCCCCTACTCCCTCCTGCGTTCTAAACTACACTTAAGGAACAGAATTTCTAAGTTTATAGTTAAGTCAGTTGACCAACGGATTCCTTATAGCGATCAGACTGGGGTATAGTGTAAAGGCGAAGTATTTACCTAAATGTTGATTCTTTCTATTTAGCACTTTTTAATTTTATTAAGATATTTTCGTTGTTTCTATTTTATTTTGGACTTTCTCTATATTCTGTATTTTATATGGTCATAAGTTAATTAATCTATCCAATACTAAGATACTTATTACATTTGATACGAGAGTGAAATAAACGCATAAAATAATTAAATAAATAAAATTTAATAAAATAATTTATTTCATTATTTAAAATATTTATATAGATATCGATCTTTCAACTGACTCTGGGTGTCTCCCAATCAAAAATCCAATATATAAAATATATAATCATTTAAAACTTTAAAATTCAACTAATTAAAACAAAAACATCTGGCACCAGACAGTTCTAATGTCCATCTAATCTTCTCCCTATGCTTGGGGAGAATCCAGGTCTTCAAAATCTTATTTATAAAACCAAAAGCTAAAAGGATGACATCCTACTGAACTTCACAAGGCAGTATGTTCCATAGGTCAGTGGCTGCCATGGAAAAGACAGACTTCCTAGCTCCCATTAGATCTTTAGGTGAAGGGACCAGCAGCATGCCCATTCTATCTAACTTGGTAGGAAGGTTAGATGTCTTAAGGTAAAGGTAGTCCTGCATATGGCCCATAATAATAGGATATTAAAATGTGATGACCAACATCTCGAATTGCAGCTTGAAAGAAACGCTTAAGTCGCATGCATGAGTTGCATGTTGCAACTCATGCAACAGAGGTGTTACAAGCAAAACTGCAGGCCCCCATTATTGTGCACACTATTACATTCTGGACCAGTTGAAGTTTCTTTCAAGGGCAGCCCAATGGAGAGTGCATTGTAGTAATCCAGATGCGAAGTGACCAATGCCTGAGTGCCAACTGCAACCTGAGGAAAAGTTGCAATTAATGCACAGACAAATCTCTGCAAAGATCTGCCACCTGCTCCTTGAACAGGAGCTGTGACTCCAGGAAGACCCCACAAATTGCACACCACTCAGTCTGATGAAGTTTCACTCCATCCAGAGGGAAAGATGAAGAACCATCTACCCTTGTTTACTGTTGGAAAGACCTTTTGATTTATGTAGGCTTAATATGGAGTAAATAGATGGATTATAGATTGCAACCAATTAGAACTAGGTGAACAATCTCCAGCCAAGTACTATTTTGGCAGAATTTCTTTTTTTTAATTAGTAAGTCTGATACAAAAAGAGTCATTAGAAAATATGATTGTTTCAACCACAAGCAATTTGTTAATTATATGGGTATTTTCTTTTCTCTTTAACTAGATTGCTGATAGAGGTGGTGGTGTTCCACTGAGGATAATTGAAAGACTCTTCAGCTATACATATTCTACCGCACCAAAGCCTGTGATGGATAACAAAAATACTCCTATGGTAAGAGACAAAACTATAAGACTTCTGATACATAAAGTCAGACCATTGACAATCTTGGCATTATTTTATAGACAGGGACATGCAAAACTAGAAACATTCCTTTTGCTTCTCAACATTGTTTTATTATTCCATAGTATGCTTATTTAGTAAGTATTTAAAATTAAAATTGTCTCTGTTCTACATGTATGGAAGATAAGATTTTCATTTAGATCCTTAACTACTAAGCTACCTGAATTGAATAGAATTTAAAATAAGAGAGATTTATTTCAATTAATGAAAAATATTTTATTTCTTTTTAGGCTGGATTTGGTTATGGATTACCGATTTCTCGTCTTTATGCTAAATACTTTCATGGAGATCTCAATCTGTACTCCATTTCGGGGTATGGAACAGAAGCTGTTATCCACTTAAAGGTTTGTTCTGTGCTTTTATTTCTCCTTTCAAATATGGTAGTCTGTTTTCAGATGCCTTTTTATTTGTCTTACTAGTAATTTATGCATTGTCCTTTTAAAAAATAGCCTTTATAATCTGTGCAATTTTATTTATTTATTAAATTTGTTAGCTATCCATCTTGCTGAGAGACAACAATGATCCTTGGCAGAATATATTTTTTATTCTGTTTAAATTTGGGCAAATGATTTATTGTTTGTCATATTATTGGTTGGATTATATACTGTTTTGATACAGAATTATGCTGGTCTGTGTTCAAGATTTGACTTGAAAAAGCAGAGTAAAATGTTTATTAAGTCTGGGTATACTATTTACTATAAACAAAATTCTATCTCCTAAAGATAATTTGGCTTTTTAAAAAAAACATAAAATAATTCAGGTCTTTCAAAGCAGCTATATCAATTATTACCACATATATCAGCTATTCTGTCTGGAAGACAGAAATGAAAAAACATACAAAGTCTTGCAAAATGTGAAAACAAGAATTTTTAAACTAGTAGAATAATATTGCATAGTTAAATCGATCCATTGTATATACTATGTGTGTGTGTGTGTGTGTGTATGTATGTGTATATATATATATATATATATATATATATTATATATATATGCAAATTGTGGCAAAAATAATATGCTTATCTCTAAATAGTAACAACTGTCTATTTATATTTTTAACTTTTCAGGCACTTTCTACAGAATCTATAGAGAAACTTCCTGTTTTCAATAAATCTGCATGTAAACATTATCAGACCTCTGTAGAAGCAGATGACTGGTGTGTTCCTAGGCAAAAAACAAATCCGTCAACACAGAATGTTGTTGTGTGAAGAGTACATTTGTCCAACACATTGAGATGGGATCAAATCACAGTTTCAGAAGGAATTAATGAAGTAAATTACTTGAAGTCACTACTGTTCAATACAAAGACTTAAATGAGATGAAAGAAATTATACTGAATGATGCTACCCATGCTGTGTTTGTGCAATGTAAACTAGTAGGAGAATTAAAGGGATAGAGTAATGCACATGTTGGTGGTCTTGAAGTTTAGATTAACACTCCAAAAATTCTAAAGTTTTCAGATTCCTATGTTTTGGAGAGAAAAAAGGCTATATGGCTTCTAGCAGTATCTATATTGAAGGAAATGGAAAACCATGAAGGATTTTCAAAGGAATTGAAATGGATGGAATTAGGTCATCCGTTAATTGAATAGGATATGAGGCTATCAGTAAAAACTTTTATGAATGGAATTGTTTATGCAACCGTCAAGTTGAAATTATTTCACAATATGGGTTTAGGTTGTATTTGATATTTAATCTGACAGCCTCCTTCTGTACTTCAAATAAAATACAACTTTAAAAATATATTAGTAATTTATTGGAGGTCTTTCATAAGGGTGTAATGATCAATAATCTGGTGGAGGATATAATACCTACATTTTTAAGACTTTAGGAAATACATTAACTGAGACACAAGAAAAATAATTATCCATGCAACAGTAAAGAATAACAATGGTAGAATATTTTGTGAAGAATTGATTGTAAAAATACTTCATTGTATTGCTCCTTAAAACCAGGAATCTATTATGGGCCCAGCTAGTACCAGTATAGATTGTCCTGCCTTTTCTTTATAGGCAGAATTGCTAACGAGCTAATCTTAATACATTTTTAAGGAATTATTGTGACAATTTTGCATCCATTCTTCTTTATGGCAGTTTTATCGGTGTTGTATTTGCTAATTTCCACTTTTTCATGGATTCCAAATTCATGTGAATAAGCAATCCCATCCATATGGGGCTATCATGTGCAATTGGTACAGTGCCAACAAAGGCTTAGCTGTTAACATTGATGAAATATTGAATGTTTTCTGATGAAAATATAATGCAAGCTTGGAAAATACTGAATGTTAAGTTAACTATTATTAGATCCTAATCATGAAAAAGAAATCTAATTGTTATGCTAATGGCAAGTGCATATTCGGTAGTCAGAGTGCATTAAAGATACTCCTGATGAGATATTTATGGACTGCTTGAGTACCATATTCTGGTGGGTATCACAAATGGTATCGAACTAATAGCATTAGTACAGATGTTAATTCAATTTTGGCCGTTACAATAATATTTGTTACTATGATACACTTGTTTAACTTGAGCAATATAGTACATAACATAAAGAATTGCTTTGCTAATATTGCTGCTGATCTGCTTCACAATCTTTACAGAGGACCTGGAGACTGTCTGGAATAGGGAATCAGCCAGAGCCTTTAACAGGATTGTGCCTATATGCAATACTCCCCATGATTTATGGAGGGGATGAGGAAGCTGAAAAGGATCAACAATCTGGCAAGAACAGGATGGGTATGGTGCATCCAACCTTATCCTTCTTGGTAGTTTTCAATACTATCAACCATGGTATTCCTTTGGGGACAACTTAGGGAATTGAGGGTGGGTAGAACAGTTTTGTGCTGGCTCACCTCTTTTATCTGAGGATTGGTGTTGATAGGGAGTGAGAGATCCATTTAAGGCGTCTGTTTTGTGGGATGCCACAGGGTTCAATTCTCTCTCCAGTCATTTATAACATCAAATGCTAACTCAGATCTTCTGTCACCATGCGATGAAATATCACTAATATGCTAATAATACCCACTTATAAATTTCCAGCCTGGGAAAAGTAGGTGATGTGATGGATGTTCTTCACTGCCTAGAAGCTATAGTGGCCTGGATGGGGAACAAAAGACTTCAACTGAACCCTGGAAAGATAGTGTGCTATGGGTAGCTCCCTCTATAATCCAGGAAGTTATCATTTTGGGTGGATAGTTAAGTACTGACAGACATAATACTTAACCCAGGGTCCTCCAGGACTTGCATTCCTGCTCAAAGAGCAGGTGGCAGCCATAGGTAGGAAGACTTTTGCTCAAGTTTCCTAGATAGAAAGGCGCTCTGCTTGGTCATTCATATCCTGGTCAACTCCTGTTTAGATAATTGCATAGCACTGTACATGAGACTACCCTTGAAAAATAGCCAGAAGCTTGATCTAGTACAGAATGAATGAGCAAGTTTAGATGCCCAAAGAAGGATGCATGTAATACCTTTGCTCTATGAATTGTATTAGGTACCCATTTGCTTCCAATACAGTTGAAGGTATTACCAGTAGTTATGACCTATAAAGCCCTACGTGGCCTTGATCAAGCTCCTATGGAAGTATTTTTATACCATCCAGTAGGGCAGGGGAGATATATTGCAAATATGTCCATCATTTAAAGAACTTTGATTGGTGGGGTCCAGAAAGAAAGCCTTCCCTGCTGTTGCTCCCACCCTGTGAAATATTCCCCCCGCCCGGACAAAGGTGAGGTAGGTCAGCACTATTCTGGCCTTCTGAAAAAGAGTTAAAACATTGCTCTGGGGGGACCCAGAGGAACACCAGGCTGGCTGGTACCCTGAAAGCCCTCCCTTAGCCTTTTAGTTAATTTTAACACTGTTTTTATCATCCTTGCCTCTTTTTAAATTTGTTAACTTTTATATACTGGTTTTATATTTTAATACTTTGTTGCACACCATTTGAGAAAGGTGGGTGGTTTAAAAAACATGTGAAAATTAAAAATAAATTTTAAAACCAACATTGTCAATCCATGCATTGCCTCTACAAAATTACTAGAGGTGTGGTCTTTGTGTTATTGCAATCTATCTATCTAAGTTACTGAATAGTTTAAATAACTTGTATAGGACTGGAACAAACATGAGCCTATGTTTTTGAGCAAAATAAAGTTGAATACCGTTTTGTATACAACACATTTTATCAAAAATCTGCAGAATGTGAGAAATCTAAGTGTTTTTAATTTTAGAATGAATCATTTCTGTCACAATTTACATTCTGAAACAGGTCACTTGAAATACACTATGCTTATAATAAAATGTTTTTTTAAAATATTGCTGGACTCTGTATTTCATAAAATGAATATGTGTCTATGTGCTATTCTGTTCATGAAATGTATTTATTTGTTCTATGGTCTATTCCATTTTTGTACCTCAAACTTTTTAAAAAAGCAATGTGGGAATGGTCTACTCATAAAATGTAAACATCCAAATGCGCTTTGTGGTTTTGGGTTTGATGGTATATTTTATAAACACCACCAAAAAGATTTCTTTGGTTAAACAAATTGCAATTATAAAGTATATAAACCTAGCCACTGACTTAACATAGAAATAGATGAAACTATATAGTCTTGCTGACTACAAAACATTATATACCACTCAAAACTTTGGCTTCCCCTGAGAAGGAGAAGAATAAGGAAATCAGGAGGAAAAGAAATAACCCATCTTGCCCTTGTAAATACTTTATATCAGTTAGAAAAAATCCTATCCCACAGCTCTAAATATCTCAAATTCTGAGTATGCTGGAATCCAGAATCAATTTGTGTTGCTAAAATCTCTATATATCACAGTGACTTGCCCCAGAGAAGTGCGGTAGCAATAGGAATCCTGCCTTTGTAGGAAAACAGGAGGAGAGGACTTCATTGCAGTTGTGCCACTTCTATTTACGCTGCACACAGCCAAGCTTTATGAAAAGGATTAAGTGTTTCCTAATGCTTGACAATACAGGAACCATTTATAACAAAGCTGGAAGATTATTCCAACTGTTTTGAGGCTGTAAGCTTTCAAAAACAGAGACTTAAGCCTGCCTCCCATAGGTTCTTCTTAGCTCTAGACAACTTGAAATGAATTGACAGGTTTAAGTAAAGAGCGGATCAGCTGCAGACACTTTCAGATGAACGGGAGTTGGGGAGGTCATGTTCCAAACAACAAAGATGTAAATATAAAGGTTACCAAGCTGTTAAAAATAACCTTCAGGCAAACTAAATTGGTTCTCAGTCAGTAACTATTGCTTCTTGTTCTTCTTTTGCTTACAGATTTTCCATTCCTTATTTGGGGGAGTTTTTTATGCTAAGTAAACATATACTATATTACTCCTGTCGGAGATGGATAATCTGCACTTTTCTTTCCTTCCTTTCTGTTTTCTAAATGTTTTCTTGGCATTGTTCTTCAATTCTCACAAGTCTGCTGGCTGTTAGCTGAGAGAACAACATGTACCCTGCTACCAGTTACACAGACAATTAAAAAAAAAAACATGTTTATGTGCAGCAGTGACAAAGGGTAAGTCGTGGAGTGGCACCCCCACCCTCCAAGCCACGTGGTGGAGCTCTTTGAAAGTGAAAACTGTATAACATTTCAATGAAAGTCAGATTTGCCTCTATACATTTGCATCTGTCAGCAGGTTGATTTCTTAATCTGGGAAGAGAGAGATTATTTTACATAATTTTATTTGGCTTTATATAAATTGATGAACTTTTTTTTTTTTACTCTACTGATAGTTACAGAAGCATTCAGCAATGGATCTGTATCTTCACTCTAGCATTTCCCCCTCCTTATAATTTGTTAGTTACATGCACATTTGCGCACAAGGAAACAAATCATGTTTAATGTGTTACTGCAGCAGCCTAACAGAGACTGGCTGACATATGTATAAACCCAATCCAGGATATTTAATGTTTTTCAACGCAGATATCTTGGCCAGAAAAAATCCAGATGATCACTAGAAGATAGTAAAGAGAAAATGCTAACTCTGTAGAGCCCGGAACAAAATCAAGAGAGTCATAATGTGTCCACAAATGCTGCAAGCCCTCTCACCTTGAATTGTATTAACTCTTTATCTAGTGCCAATATAACCTTGACCATTAGTTTACCAGATTCTTATGTATAGGCTTGAGTAATAAATCTTATGAACTTGAATTTATGCGAGATCCCGATTCTTCATGCCTGAATCTGGTCAATTCACTTTAAAACTTTTCACCTGATTATGTAATTCAGTTCTTGCAGGTTTGGATGGGTGACCTCGAGGAACCCCACCAGGTAATGCATCCCTGTTTGCAGTGGTGGGATTGAAAATAATTTAACAAATGGTTCTCTGCCCTAATGACCAGCTGGGTGGGATGGTGGGCATGGCCAGGGGGTGTGACAGGCAGCACTCAACCTCCTGCACCCCCCTGGGATCAAAAACAGGCCACCGGGGGGGGGGACAAATTGCCCCCTCCCGCACCTCATTTTGGGCCTAGGAGGCCTCCCTGCACTTATCTGGGAACCAAAGTGGGGCATGTGGGATCTCCTGGAAGGGGCGGGGCAGGGAGGGGCAGGGCCAGCCAGCAATTTAACTTCCTGTTCGCCTGAACCGGCCCGAACTGGCTGAATCCCACCACTGCCTGTTTGCAATGGAGTAGGAGTCTTGAACAATAAGGGCAGAATACCTTTGAGAAAAGAGATTTGCATCTTTGCCACAATAATCACACACTGGGGAAGTTTTCAAAACGATACATAGAACATTTAAAGACTTCTGGATGTCTAAGATGGCAGCAGACAACAAGACTGCATAGCAACAAGCTCATGGAAGCGGCGGTGGGGGGGGAGTTGGAGGGGAGGAGGATGTAGAAAAAGACCAGGCAGACCATGGGGGTGGAATCAAGAGAGGACTCAGCCTAGAATCTTACATCTCCAAGTAAAGATTCCCCTAGTGTCAACTTAATGTTGACCATTACTTGATCAGATTCTTGTGTATAGGCTTGAACAATAAATCTTCTGAACTGGAACTTAATATGATTTTGATTTTTCACACCTGACAATTTTTCCCAATCAACTAATGGTCTCCATGTGGACTTTTGCATTTTGGATATGGTGGCCTTACTGGATTGCCTACTTCCCAAGTAATATATTAAGCCACAATAGATAGATTCATATAATATATTATATTAAAAGCTCAGAACATATTGTATTACAGTTTAAAATCTAAACATAGCTATCTAACCTTTTGGCTTGCCTGAGCCACACTGAGTGAAGAGAAATTGTATATGAAATACAATTAATATAAAATATATAATAATATTAATATATATCAGTGTTGGTGAACCTTTTCGGCACCGCCCTGTGCACGTGTTCCGGAAACCAGAAGAGTAGCCGCCCGGTGCCCATGTGCATAGAGGGAAGATGATCTTCTGGTTTCTGGCATATGCATACACACTGGCCAGCTGATCTTCGCATGCATGCCAGAAACTGGAATACCAGGTGGCTGGTGTGCATGTGTGCACCGGAAACCAGAAGAGCAGCTGCCCAGCATGCACATGCTCGCCAGGCGGCTATTCTTTTAGTTTCTGGCACTCCCACGGATGTGAAGACCAGCTGGCCGGTGCACCAGAACCCAGAAGAGCAATGGGTAGTGGCTTGCTTGCCTGGAGAGACATCTCTGTGTGCCACTTCCAGCACACATGGCCTATATATCACCATCACGGATATATATTAATGACAAACTTCCTTTATTTTTAAATTTTCTATTGGTTTGTTGGGGGCAGCATAACAAGCTGTCTAAAGTAGCATGCATCCTGCAGGCACGGGGTTGGATACACCTGGTCTAAAGTTTTCCCATCATTGGGAAACATCATCTTTATTCTTCATCTGTTAATTTTACAGAATTTCTAAAGATTCTCACAACCATCATATACAATTTGCATCGAATGGTAAACCATTAATTATAGTTTATTGAATAAATTCAGTTTGACTGGGTTCGTATACTCCATTAATTTATGATATCATAGTTTAAATCTACAATGCCTTGGTTTCTAAAATTATCCTAAACCAAAGGCAAATTAATCTGTTAATCTGTCTCAACTGCATAATTTGGGGTGGTGATGTCAGGTGCAATTAATCGGAAGCAAGGTGGTTCAAATGATTACAAATTTATTGCATGCTAACCAATAGTGGGTTTCAAATCCCGGTGCTACTGGTTCGCTATTGGTAGCATGCGGGCGCATGGGTGCACTTTGCAAGCGCGCAGAAGCTCCTGCGCATGCACAGAGCATGCACAGAGCATTTTTGATGATGTCTGGGTGGGTCGGCGGCGCCACTACCGGTTCACCCAAACTAGGGAGAATTGGAAGCAACCCACCACTGATGCTAACGGTCTCTACAAAAGCCTAAACTATTAATGGTCAAAGCAAATTAGCAATAAATAAGAGTCAACAAAATTAAGATCGGGGTGGACTTAGATCTCTTCTGGGCATGAAGGGACTCTAAAGTGATGACACACTTGACCTTTCCCTCAGTCTCAGCCTGATCATATCCTACAGGGGACACTGTATTAAAATGATGATCCTCATTTTTCCATGACCAGTTCCAATTTGGGGGGCGCTTAGCCCTACAGTTGCCAGAAGTCAAAAACTGACTTAAAGCACTTGCATACACATGGACGGCTGATTTTCTTCAGTGATTTATATTGCTTTGTTTAGCTCGTGTTCTCTCCTAGACATCAAATAATCTGCTTCTTGATTTTTCATTCTTTTCACTTTTAAAGTATAACCTGCCCAGAGAGGTTTGGAATCAAACAGCTTAGGAAAAGTGACATAACTTCAAAACTAATCAAATTAAGTTCCAGGACAACAACTAAAATCAGTCTGACATTGTTACCTGGAAGATCTAAATACTCATTCTGTAAGCATCTCCAAACATTATGGAGATTGTCCAAAGCCAGCATGGATTTTCAGGAACAAATTCAGCTTAGCTAACCTTTTGTCAATTTTTCATTGGGTGACTCTTTTTGTGCATTGTGGGAGTTCTGTGACCATGATATCTTTTGAATTTGTTCGTTTGTTTGTATAAAATTTGCATAAAATTTATAGGCCACCCACCTTACCACAAGGTGGGTGGCCTATAACAACAGGCCACATATTTGTGTGTCTGTACATATACACACACACACACACACACACCAGTGGCGGGATTCAAAAAATTTTACTACCGGTTCTAAGGTGTGGTTTGGTTTGCGTGGCATGGCATGGCATGGCTTGGTGGGCATGGCTTGGTGGGTGTGGCAGGGGAAGGATACTGTA